CTTGTCGAGCGTTGAGATTAATGTATGCGAGACTGCTTGCCTGCATTGAACGGCGAGGTCGTTATGCTTCTGTGTTGGCAAAGTTCACACGATTTCACAATTTTGCACGATTTCGATACGATCTATTTAAGCAGGATAACCTGCTTTAACGACGACGTTTAGTACATGGTTTAAAGGAGTATGAAGCAAGTGTTCCTCCATGAGTGGAGCTTCGCATCTGCTTGGAAGACCTTTTCCACCCCTAATGTTTGCCTGCGAAACGGCGCAAGGTTTTACATTAAAAATTTCTAAAAGTTTTGCCCCCTGGTCTGTTCTAATGCATTTGTGCTCACTGATTACGGCTTTGACCATAAGAATGCTGACTTTGATGTTCTTTTGGACACCCCGCCACTTAAAGGTCTTCACTTTTCACGATTTTGTTTCCATGAAATACATAACAGCTCCACTGATAGCGCGACCAAGGCACATCAGCATTATTTACTGGCAGCACTAGTGTAGTATAAATATATTAGCACAAAAACCAATATTCTACCTCTACCCAGTGTCCTTAAATATTCGCACCAAAAGTGATAACCTAATAAATGCAATATTCCATAAGAGATAGCGGAAGCATTACTAGTTGTACTTGTTAATGTTCCCGCATCAGGTTGTGCCAGGAACATTATCATCGTGGTTCTGAGGGAGCCGCACCCCTTCTTGCAACCGGTTGCGCTTTTTGTAACTGGCTGGTGTGCCCCTCTCCGAAAATCCTTGGCGACACTCATGGTATACGTCATACTTGATGTGTATTTTTTGGAGGTCAGTGGAGGGACATTATTTGCTAAGTTCCGGCAGTCAAACAAACAATCTTATTTTAGTCCGTAAAACACCTATTTTATCACGTGCTCCGTGACAGCGGGTCGCTAGACACGTTGCACTACGTAGGATCACTATAACGAACAAACAACAGCCTTTAAAAATGAACTAATCATGCGCGAGCAGTGCGATCATTTACATTAGACGGTACGGTGGAAGGACTACCAACTGGCAACGTCACCTTCCTCTTGGACAAATGAACCTTTTATGTATATGTCCCCTGACACCGGATGACTGAATGCTTGTGGCCGGCCTGTAGCATGCTGAAAATGTACAGTAGCGTGTCAAATCCTCCGAGTTGCTTCGAGAAGTCTTCTCCAGCCACTGACAGGTCGGCTCCAGTGTCGGCAAGGGCACTCAGCTTGGCACTGTGGTGTGCCTCCGCTTGCACATACACCCGCTGTGCTCCCGCAGGTGACGTGGATGTCGGAACAGCCGAGGTGATCGGCCAGCGGTGGCCTTCCATGCCGCGATGGTCGAGAGGCCCCGGGCCCCGTTGCGAGCCAGCGGTGGCCTTCCATGCCGCGACGGTCGAGAGGCCCGGGTCCCGTGGCGGTCGACAGACGCTGGCGAAGTGGCCGGTCTTGCTGCGGAGGTGACATTTCCTGTCGCGGGCCGGGCAGTGCCAGTCCGGCGGTGCAGGTACCCACAGCGTCAGCACCGGTCCCGCTCGACCACCGCCGGCGACGTGCAACGTGGTGATCCGGACTCAGGTGATCTTCGGGCATCGGGAGAGTCCCGCGCGTGAGCTTGCGTCCTCTAGCAGGCCTCTGTCCGCACACGCAGCACGTGGCCAGCGCGGCCGAAGGCGTCGGGCCGTCACGTCCGGCGTGGCAATCGCAGCCGTAGTCACGTGACAGACCATGCAGGCCGTGGATTCGTCGTTGCCTCGAATCTCCGCAGCGTCTCTGAAGGCAGCCTCTGGAGACCTGCAGAGCAGCGGACAGAGACAGGCTTGGGATTTGCAGAGCCTCTGAACAGGCTCTGTGGGTCTCAGACCCATAACAATGTGATCTCGGATGAGTGACTCACTGCGTTACAGACAAAAATTACCCTTCCGAGACAAGCCACGAAGACAAGTGGGAAAGTCATCAAACGTCTCTCCCTCGACCCGAAGTCTAGCGTTAAACTGCTCCATCTGAAGGACCTCGTTCACCTGTCCGATGGCGTGGACCTCCAGGTGTTGAAGTAACACAGTCACATCTTGTCATCCCGAGTCCTCCAGCCGCAGATTTTGGACGACTCGGTTCGTGTTGTCAGTCAGACGGGATGAAATGACGGCCATTGGAGGAGGACGGCCTCGGCTCCAAGGCACCAACGCCTGTGAGGAGGCAGAAGTCCTCCCACCTGTCTGTCCACGTGCAGAATGCCGCCGCGGTCTGTGGCGAGGCCAAGCGGGTCCGGCTGGGTCGTCTCCCCGAGCCCCGAGGTACAGGCTGGCGGCTGCTCTTGCACCAGCGCGCCGGCCGCCGGTGCGAACTACGCACCACTCGCCACAGTCGCCCGCCACGCTACATTCAATTCAACAGACACGATCCCACCGTCCGCGCCTTGCAGTGATCTCAGACAACTCGGTCTCAACATCAGCCGCTCGTATCTTAACATGCGCTCGGGTGGGGGTCAAATTGACCCCCCGAAGGTTTTTCCAGAATGGTTTCCGAACAGTACGGCATAGCCGCGCCAAATTTTGTATAGCTGTAGACAACTGAATAGCGGATCGTTCGACATAAAAAACTAGATGTATCTGGTAAGGTCGGTGACCTATGGCAGGTCAAAATCAGGCAATGGTTTCAGCGAGGGCAATTTCTAAGGACTCGTCCAATCTGATACAGTAACGGGGTGTTTGACGAAGCCATACATCTCTGAGATGCTTTCTTAGGCACTACAATGTTGAATGAGTAAATTACGTTGACCTAAGGTCAGGTATGAAGGTCAGACTAAGGTCATAACCAACCTGATTTATTACTCTAGGGCTTGCTCTATGGGATAGTTTCTGGTGCTCATTTCTAATTTATTGAAAGCAGGAACTGCATTATGCATCTTCTATTGACTTCTTATAGGTCAGAAAAGGTCATTGACCTAAGATGACCCGGGTCGGCACTTTGTTATATGGACATACTGCCTAGAGTAATCTTTGTCGCTGATTCAAATGCAAAACTCAGTGCAGTCTTGTATTATTTTGGTCACCATGACCTTTAAAAGGTCAAACAAGGTCACTGACCTCAAATAGGCTTTTGAAATTTCGTTTAGGAACAGTTTCCTAGGTTCTGAGGGCACTTTGGTAACCAACCTAGAATTTGACCTTGTTTGGCTTTGTTTGACCCGAAGGTCACGACCTTACGAAGCTCAAGCTTTGACCTAAGTGAGTTCACGTACAGGTCAAGACACCCTGTAAAATTGGTGTCTCTAGCTCTCTTAGTTCCCGAGATTTCAGGAGGGGATGTTCAAATTGACCCCCCACCCCCGAGCGAAGGGTATCTAGCCGGCCACCCGGGCGCGTGTTAAGATGCATTGAATAATTGCCCGCGCGGGCGTCCGTATGTAACCAGTCGTCAGACACTGATCCAGGCCGACCGGCCAGCGGCCCCAGTCGTCAGCCTAACAGCCGATGGTGGTGTCCACGTGACCGGCCGGGGTCAGCGGCGGCCCGCAGTGATGCGAGCAGACGGGCTGCCCGCAGTACCGGGCGTCAGCCACACACGTGGGGCACCGGTATAGAAGGAACACGGTGTGGTTGGCTGCGTTCACGCGTTACAAGGCGTGCATGTGATGCCGGTTATGTCGGAAGCCTTTGTAGAAACTGACAGCGCTATGACCGAGCCTTTCTGTCATGTAATAATAGTACGGTAGCGCGACCAGCGGCACATAGAGCCCACGTCTTTGTAGTGTGACACCCAACAATTCTGCTTCTAGTGATGGATGAATACCTAGTTCAATCCTTTTCTACCGCTGACTGGCGCGTCAAGGAATTTGGTCAACAAGGAAACAAAGCGTCTGAACAAAACAGTGAAATGTCCGGTCACAAATGTTGATAAGCCTGTTCGTCAGCCGGTTATTTTCTGGCCAATATTCTTATGCGGTGACATGACTGAAGCTGTCAATTACAAAGCAAACGTAAATGTTGTATTTAGTGGAGACCCATCGTATCGCACTGAGAGCCAGCGACTGTCGGCGACAGCCCAATAGTTAGCGATGAAGCACGTGATCAGCGGAAGGCTGATACATATGCCGCTCTCCAAAAAGGCAGCCGTGCTGGCCAGTGCTGACAGGCCCTTCTTTAAAATGTCTGTGTGGCTACACTATTATACTATTTGTGCCATCTCACGCTCACTTCAGATACAATTATCACTGCTCGAGGCGTTCAAACAGCTTGTTGTGCTGCTGATAACGTGGATCCCGCACTGGACCTCTCGTGGAATCCAGCGCTGCTCCACGACCTTCCACACGCCGCTACTAACGAGCGATCAGGTTCGGTTCTTTTGCCTCTCCGAAATGAATTGCGTCCGGCTCCATATCAGTGACAATGAGGTCAGAGCGCTCGGCCGGCGTTACTGGCGTATCCACCGACCACCCACCGAAGTGATGTTCACAATATTTACCGATCACCTACCGAAGTAGTGCTCGCGTATCTACCGACCAGCCCGGGAAGTGACGTTCACATATCCACCGCCCACCTCACCGAAGTGGTGCTCATGTATCCACCGACCACCTACCCTAGTGCCCGCGTATCTACCGACCACCCCGGAAAGTGACGTTCACATATCCACCGACCACCTCACCGAAGTGGTGCTCATATATCCGCCGACCGCCCCACCAAAGTGGGGTGAAAAACAGTCAGCTATGTGCAAGAACATGGAAAATGCATGCCAGTATACACTGCACACCGAGAATCAGCATTCTTAACAGACGCTAGACAGCGTGTAATACTTGACAGCTACGGGCGGGTATCACCGAGGGCCAATCAAATTCGCGTAAGGTTCGCGACAACCAAAATCAATATGCTAATGAAGTCATGTTTAATAGACTGAGTTTTTTTTTATCAGTTTTGATATTTCGGAAAGTTCAAAATGTTGGTGACCCGTTTCAGATAGATGGGATTTCGCGGTTCCATCCGTCGGGAATAAGAAAACGAGCCGGCACGGCGATCTGATCAATTGATCATATTCTATTCACATCACCTATTGTTACAACATGTGACACATCTTCCATTTACAATTGCCTAAGGGCTTCATCTGCAGATTGCACAACGCACTAACCAGGCATCTTTCGAAGTTACAGGGGACATGCATGGCGCACAACCGTCTGGGAATATAAGTTACTAAAATGAATGAGGAGCAACCAACAATTTGAAGCACACAGTACCGCGCGAGCGGGAACGCACCTTCAACGGGGGGCACAATAAATCCAACACTACGATCGGGGAGAATGATAATTATCACATGTTATGGAACGGGCCCCGGTGCGGCCACCTCATTCAGACCGAGTGAAGGAGGTGTTCAGCGCAGCGTCGCGCTCCCTTACGGAACGACAGGAGCTGCGAGGTGTTCGCCTCGAACGGCAGCGCAGTCATATCAACAAGAAAGGGGTCGAGCGGACAGAACGAACAGGACGCAAAGGTGGTACAGAGACAACGTGTTAAAAAACTACACATATATAGGTGCGTAGCTGGCGCGGGAGATCTCTCGTCGGAGAGTGACGGCGCGGCTCTCGAGTTGCGGCCAGTTCCCGCGCGCGCAGCTTGGCCCGATACGCGTGCGCACCGGCACCGGGGAGGCCTCGCAAGGGCTATTGGGCGGCAGCCGCGTACAAGCGGCCAGCGACGCCGAGCCTAACAACATCTAACGAACGGCCTACAAAAGGTCGGCGCGAGCCTCCGCCGTCACAACCCCGGCCGCCAGCTCCGGCCGCCCGCGGCGGTGGCGCCACCTGCGGCCAGCTTCGCACTCCACTGCACTCCTCCGGCGCTGGAGCTGCCAGCGGCGGGGGTGCCAGCGACCGGGCTTCGCTCAGCGGGTGAGCAGGCCCGGCGTGGGCGCGCTGAGATTCCTCCCGGCCGCCAGAGGGCTCCAGAGACGCCGAGCGCGCCTCTCCGCACCGACAGAAAGCTCAACATGACGCCCCCCAGCGCGCGAGACGCGCCTCAGCTCGTCGCCAGTTTCTCACAGCTTCTCTTTCGACGGGATCCAGATGCGGTTCGTACCCTGCTCACGGATGGTCTCTTTCACTATTTCGTAAATCTCCTCCGGCGTGTCGCCGGAAACAATGTCTGGAAATGAGAAACATCGTCAGTCAGAAGTGTCAACGATAACCGTCAAAGCAAGCGTCACGTGTCCGGCTCTGAGCACTAAGAAACAGCAGACACTAAGGAAGAACATAAAACTAAGAAATCCGACACTGTCATGCAACAACATATAGCAGCTTCCTCCCTGGGTGGGCTTAAAGTAAGCACGCAGAATTCTATTGAGTAAGCCATCTCCCCCCCCCCCCCCCCCCCCCCCCCCCCCCCCCCCCCCCAATGATTCTACGCCACATAGACCCGCGTCCGGTGGGAGACTTGTGGAGGAATCTTCACCTGGCAGAAGTACAACTTCACGACGCAAATCGCCATTCATTAACCACAGGAATACACCACCAATATCTCCCACTTACTGGTAAAGTATTCGCTGAACTCCACTTCCAGCTTTTGACATTTGTCGTACATCTTTTTCGCCTGCTCTTCCGTCAGCCGTTTGTTCCATTCTCTGTGAAAATGCAGCGGAATAAAAATCGGATTTGTGGAAATTAGAAAACAGCGTCGCACTTCCAGCGCACAGGCCGCTACGGCACCTTCCAAGCGCATCTGCTCGGTTCCAGTGTGCGGAAGTCACAAAGACTGTCTGAGTGAGCACACCCAAATACGAAGATGAATGAACCAGTATGTCACATCGAGTGTGCCACATCACTCAAGGAGTGGCCAGCCGTTTCTCATACCGAATATGTTAGGTATGCTGTTGTGACGCAGAACTATCAACAGCACTTGAGCCATGGTATCACTGAACGTATCCACCAGCCTCAACTGGCAGGCGTCGCCACCCTCTCATTCAGCAGTGCCAGTAACGTGTACCAGAGCCAGCTTCAGTAGCGCCTGAGTGACCAGCTCTGGGGCGCCCCGACGGTGGTTCTTGGCAAGCGCACGTCACGACCCAGGTACTAAAACATCATTGCCTAACGCCCAGCGTGCTAACACTGCCTCAACACCATTTGTGTTAGCATCACCGCCTCAGCACCCAGTGTTAACTCAGCATGCCTTGAGTGGAGATCTTGCCTTCATTGTACTATATAGCTGTAGGATGGCGAACAGGCTCCTCATCACCGTTTGCTGGTAAAGGGTGCGCCCTAGTAGGATTACGCAGAAAACGGTGCGCCCCCCCCCCCCCTCCCCTTCCTCCCCAGTCATTCAGTTCGAGGTGCACGCAACTTTACGGAGGAAGGCGTGCATTTCTGCAGTCTTCCTTCGGCTACCAGACAGGTCCCCTCGGGCCACGAACCGATCGTGCCTCGCGCCGAGCAAAGCTCTGTCCTGCGCCACCGTGTCCCCAGCGGGTCCCCGCCTGGTCACGAACAGAGTTCTGTCCCGCGCTACCATACCCCCAGCGGGTTCCCTGCTCGGTCACGAGCAGAGCTCTGCCCTGCGCTGCCGTGTCCCCAGCGGGTCCGCTCCGCGGTCACGAGCAGAGTTCTGTCCCGCGCTATCATACCCCCAGCGGGTCTTCTGCCCGGTCACGAGCAGAGCTCTGCCTTGCGCCGCCGTGTTCCCAGCGGACCCCCTGCCCGGTCACGAGCAGAGCTCTGTCAGGCGCTGCCGTGTCCCCCGCGGGTCCCCTGCGCGGTCACGAGCAGAGTTATGTCCTGCGCTGCCGTGTCCCCTGTCCTGAGCCCCCCGCCCGGTCACCCCTGACCCTCGCAGACGGAGCAGACTCGCGTCCCGCCGTGCGCCCCACTCACAGGATGAGCTCCGGCGAGCGTGGCCGGATGAAGATGGCGATCGGGTACAGCTGGGCCACGTGCAGCCGCTTGATGGCGTTTCCGCTCACGTCCAGGATGCAGTGCTTCTTTTGCTGGTGGCCCGAGCACAGGGGGTTAAAGCAGTGCGAAGATCGCGGCCATGTCCGGGAATGAGGCCGGGCGGCGACGTCAGTCAAGAGGCATCCCCCGCCAGTCAAAACAACCGGCCGGACCCCCGCCCGATCGCTTAACGCCCCGTCTGTTTCTAAGCACAAACGTCGCCGGTGTGATATTCCCCAGTCTGTTCTCGCGTCCCCATGCAACAGAGCCCGGACAGCGCAGCGAGACGCGGCGGAGACGCCTCGGGACCGGTGGATGACGTCAGCGACGCGCGTGCCGTACCTCCTCGGCCACCTCTCGGACGCTGGTTACGCTGGTGCCGTACAGGTTATCGTTGTACTGGCCGGCCTCGATGAACAGGTGGTTCTGGATGTCCTGCTCCATTTGCTCGCGCGACGCCACGAAGTGGTAGTCGCGCTTGTCCACCTCGTCCTCTCGGCACGGCCGCGTCGTGTCTGCCGCACACGTGACGTTGCTCATTTCCGGTTCCGGTTCCGGTTCCGGTCGCTCATGTGTGATGTAGCAGCTGATTCACTACGCGAGCGATCACTTTCAGTGGCCGGTGACCGTAGTAAAATAGAAGAGCACGCGTGTGCGAGCTTTCGCAACGACAATGTTAGCATCAGATATAATGTTATATCCGGCAAACATGCGGTTATACATTTACATACCGTACAACCTTATCCTATGATTAATCTGTCGTTGACAATAAAAGGTATGCGGTAGGTACGCACCGTGGGCGCCAACAAGTCTCAAAGTGCCATGCCAGCACGCGCGTTAAAACGAAACCTTTGTCCTCGACACTAACATGATAAACACAAGTTAAAGTCTTCAGTTGGAGTTGTTAGATGATGAACTCAAAGGCATGACGTCACGCCCCGAACTTCACGAGCCCTTATCGGCGACAGCTTTAACGTCACCCAAAACTTCAACTCTCCAGTCTACTTTTGGACGGCTAACCATTTGCATAGCGCCCGGCCAGGCACCGTCACAAATGACCCGGACGACTGAGTCTGCCCCGCGGTGCGGACGTCGTCGCCCGATGTCTAGACGTCTCTGATCGCACCCCCGTCGCGCGGCGCCTCGTCCACTCACGCGGCACGCAGCTGCCGAAGTCGTCCGGGTACTGCGAGATGAGGTCGTCGTTGATGCGGTCCTTGAGCGGGCCCAGGATGATGACCGGCCGGCAGTAGCTGACCTCCACGTGCTGGACGGGCTCGTACGAGGGCACCGGCTCCTCAGGTAGGCTGCGCTCGTCACCTTCCGACGCGTTCGTCACCGAGTCTGCGACAGCGGTCCGTTGTTGTGGCTTCAAAACGTTACGTTTTGTCCCTTAGCGGCGCCCGATGGGGGAACATTAGCCAGCGCTTCACTTTTTGCTCCACTGGTGTTACCGCGATGCTACTGTTTAAAGAAGTGCGATTATTAGAAGTGCAACAGCCATGGTGTCTTCGTTGCTCATGCGATCAAATGCCAAACTAGAACTTCGCAGAAGAATGCGTTGCTAAACCTAGAGCTTTTCAAAAGCGCCGCAGCATGAAGAGCGAACAGCTGATCATAGGCAAGATACTCTGTAAGTCGGACATTTGCAGCTATCTACGTCGGTGATTAACCTTTTTGTGGGAACAGCCTCCTCGACAACATTACTTCCCCCATCAAAGGCCGTCTCCCTGCGCTGCCTCTTCGAAGACCCATACCAGTTGCTCACAGCAATAAATTGAAAGAGCTCTTCCTTTGACGGTGCAAGTTAAAGGATTTGTTTTGTTAGTCTGCGTTTCTCCACCCGTCCCTTTTAACCTCGAATCGACAACCTTTTAACAACGACAAATCTTTTAACAACGAATCGAATCGACAACAAAAGAGCGTGCTAAAGACGATAGCCTTCGGCAATGGATCTTACGCTAATGCAATACAATACACGAAGCAGGATAGGCTGTGTCGTGAGGTCAGTTGTTTTAACGCTTAATGCAACACACGACACAAAGCGAGACGCCGGCCAAGTTGGTTCATGACCGGCGAAATGACGTGTGGATGTGAGACTGGCCTCTCCGCATGACGGCGTTAGTACTTACGGTCATTGTCCTCTGATCCATCTTCGGACCTCATATCCTCCCTCGATTTCATGAACGGAAACTTGCGAGAAAAGGAGAAGTTTTTCTTCTTCCGGTCTAGGGTGGACTGCAACGCAGGTACGTGTACAAGTTAGTACAACTGCACAACGATTTGAAAATATGGGGAGACCGAATTAATTGCTAATACAGAAAGAAAAGTGTGAGAGACATTGGGAAAGCCGTGGCTGTCAATTCTAGAAGCAAACAAGAATAAGCTTGGCCACATTTTTCTTGCTTTCACGCAACTCAAACTCTTTTCAAATTAGTGCCTAGCGCTCCAGCACTCAGCCGCTATCACATGCCGCCAACACAGGTGGACAGCTACTTCTCGCTACTGATGACGTTAGCAAACAGGCACATTTCGACCCTGATGATCCCACCCGCATCAGATTCGGCGTCCGCCTCAGCTTGGACCGAGCAGCGCCGGAGGCGGCGCCGACAGTACCCCAGCGAGCCAACGTGTCACGCGCACGCACCGCAGGCAAGGCAGAGACGGAACGAAACCCGACACGGACAGCATGACCAAATCCGCACACAGGTGCGTGCCCCCGGTGGCGGAGTCAGCGCCGGAATCATAGTCAGACGGGCCAGAGCCGGAGCCAGAGCCGGAGCGGGGCTCCAGATCGCACGCAGTCTCCCCATCACCGGCAGCGGTACCAAAGCCAGAGCCACGACGTCGCCGCGCGGCCGGGGGCAGCACACCAAACATTACCAGACACTGTCACGGGACAGGGCAGACCACAGGGTCACAACACTCAGCACGACGGCACGACGCCGGCTCCGTGCGGACCAGCCGCGACGGGACGGAAGCGAGACCTCATCCCCAGGATCGCACAACCACGTGCTCGGCAGGCTAGATGAGGGCCGGGTACGGGCGAGAAAGGGCAGCCGCGACAGATCATGCTGTTTTAAATGTCCTCACTGATACTTTAGCATGTTCGCGCTCTCTCACTGAGTGTGTGAGTACTGACTCACTGAGCATACGCAGCTGACGGAAGCGTGACCGGCGTCATTCCAGTGACGTCACACGCTCCACAGTGTACGGTGAGCGGGCAGGCCAGCGGGTCAGCCCTGACCAGGTGGCTCTGGTGGTCAGCTCTGACCAGCCCATCCACACCGGCTTACCGAGGGAGCCGAGCAACTCGGCTGCGGCGTCTGAGACCGCCACTCCCACGCGTAAACTACCTCTCGGAGACGTGACGGGGCTACAAAGACGTAGCTTAAATGTGATGGGGCTTAAATGGGGACTACAAAAGGCTAATGCTGACGTATCGGTGTCACCAGCCTCGTCGCGTAACGATGGAGCAACGTGCGTTTGGGTTCAAGGCTGAAAAAGTTATCCAATGCTTGTTTACAACAACCACGTATTGAGCTCCATGGACACATGCCATCTTTTGGAAGTTGTTCCCAGCTAACAGCCGTAACTACATACGGACGGGGTACCATTCCGGACGTAAGAGCCGTCCTAGCTACACACGTGTACGACAAACAGGGTGCAAAGCACCAACCGCACATATGGGAGCACACCATGGCTCAAAGCAAGAACATAGTGGAAACGCACGACCAAAAGCGGTTTGAGGACACAAACAGGGGGTGCCAGACAGGGAGAAGCGGTGGATGCGCACACCATAGTCACCTCGTCCTCCTCTGTCGCCTGAAGCAAACCAGGAACACAGAGCACAGAGTGAGGAGTGAGAGCGAAAACAGTTAGTTCCGCCGTCAGCCATCTTTTGAAACGGATGGCCTAAAGAAGGTCGGTGAACGATCAGGCACACTGAGACTATCTCAGCCAAATAGCACGCTGAAATAATGGATGGCGATTCGAATGCACAAATAGGCGGAAAACTGACACAATTATGGCACAAGTAACGCAAAAACGTTTAGCATAGGCCACTGATTTACGAAGGAGCCAAAAAGACGACCGCAACCTTGCGCACGGTGGTCAGTACCGCCGCATGACGGCTGCTACCCAAGAGCACAATTCGCGTTCATCTCCACACAAGCAAGAGCTCTATGACGTCCTTCCACCTCAATTGCCTCCAGTGCTGCAATTTTGGACGTAGCCGCAATGCAATCTTAAGGGGTCCCACAACCACAGGCCAATCGGCGAAGAAAACGACGCCGTCGAATCTCCTGGTGTACCACAGAAGTGCCAACGACGCACGACTGCCTCTCGTGCCCGCCAAATCCCGTCTCCGGGCGACCGTTCCAGACACAGGTCTGTGTAGAATAAACTCACTGCGATAAAACAAACACCAATAAACACTAACAAACACTAAGAAACACACCAATAAACCCCAGCTCACCATGTCGGCCGCCGTCTTGGCGTGGAACACCACCGACTTGCCGCGCGCGCGCATCTTGCGCTCCCAGCGGCCCCGCGACGGAATGATGCCGATGGCCAGCTGCTGGCCCTGCGGTGTCAGCCGCTTGGCCTGCCACCACTGGTCGTCGCTGGCGTTGGTCACGTGCAGGATGTCCCCGAAGGCGAACGGCAGGCCGCGCGAGGGCAGGCCGTCGTCCAGCCGCGGGTCGTAGTCGAACAGCGCCCTGCGCACGGCACGGGCCGGGTCAGGCCAGGCTAGGGCGGACCGTTCAGACAGGGTGCGCTTGCCCGGCCAGCGCAGGCTCACTCTGACCAGTACACTGGGCCTCTGATCCAATGCGGTCGGGATGTTGCCAGTAGCGGGATGCTTGGCGCGGCTGCTACTTGCTTGACGCATAAAGAGCGTTTCTGTCTGCCACGTTAAGGGTCCAGCACACGGTGACTTAGTTTTTTTTTGCGTTTTTTTTTTTTGGCGGTGCACGGTCGTGCCAGACGCAGAGAGGACATGTATGTACGGCGGAGATCGTCTCTGACGTAGAATGAACGTTTCTGTGCCGCGCTCAGCCGTACCTGACGTAGAGCGATCGCTTCTGTGTGGTGCGCAGCGTGGAGGACGACATCTGCTGCTTCAGATCGTGGACCCTGGCTTCGAACCGGTTGTACTCCTCGGGCCGGTACTGGACCACCAGGGACACGGTGTGGCCGGCGCCCTGTCGGCGGAGGTCACCGTTATCCAGGCCGGTCACCGGTTACCGGTTCCGGTCACCACCCTTGCCGTGACCTGACGTGACCTGACATGACCTGACGTGACCTGGCGCAGTGCACCAGACAGCCGACCGTGGACAGCCAACAGCAATAGAATAGAAATTGGAGTAGCTCGAATGCTTCTTTATAGAGATGTTTAGAAGTAGGATACCGGATGACAGCGTTCCTGAGTGCAATGTTTGTTGGTATAATTCAGTAGTTTATTTTGCGGGGCGTAATATGATTTCCTGCTCACTTTCGTCGGTAGAATATATCAAACTATTTCTGGCATAGTGTGACATCCTGGTATACTTCGTCGCAACCAAGCATTCGCTGTAATTTGACTCATCCAAGCACCCTCCCTAAACTTCTCTGTAACCATCAGCATCAGCAGAGCTTCGTCGTAGCTCTGCCCCCCCCCCCCCCCCCCAACGCTCAAAACTTCTCCGTAGCCGAGCATCCGCTGCACTTTGTCTCACGCCTATTGGTTAAATCCACAGGACATGGCTAATACTGTCGTATTCTTAGGCCGACGTGTGCACTTTTCCATCAGTACCTTTCATGAAACCCGGTGACGACAAACAATAAGGGACACGCAGCCAAGGGCCATGGATAAACTGCGCCCCAATCTGGAGTGAATGCGTGAAACGAAAAGCTTTCTTCCGCAAATACAGCAAACTCCGAAGAGCCTGGCAGCCCCACTTACCTACGCTATTAATAAAAAATAAGCTTGAGACTCAAGGGCCAGGCAGAGAAGCGTCCACAACAATCACAGCCCGTAACTTACATAACTATGCCTGACACGTCAAACAGTTGCCTACCCAGCAGTCCAAAAGATCGAGACTCTGGATGCTGCTAATGACCCGCGGGCTGGCGAGTGCCCAACCGAAACCTGCAACACCAAACTCCTCGCCAGTACTCCTCTGCCCTCGCCAGCAGCGGTGACCCTGTCTGACCTTGAGGGCGGCAGCCGCCTGCTCGTGCGTGGCCTTGGAGACATCGCAGCCATTGACGGAGAGGATGCGGTCGCCGCGGTGCAGCTCGCCGCTCCGGTCCGCCTGGCCGCCGGCCAGGATAAACGACACGAAGATGCCCTCCGACTCCTCGCCGCCCACGATATTGAAGCCCAGCCCCTGGCCGGACGCTCTGCTGAGCACCACCTGCCGCTGCTCCCTGTCGACAGGTCAGGTCAAGTCAGGTCGTGTCGGGTCGGGTCGGATGGGGTGCGGGGGAGGGGAAAGGGCACAGCGAACACAGGACAGGTTGGGATGCCCAACCGGCCCCACAACACGCATGTCAAACTATGGGCGACGAAACGCCAACAATGATAATAACTAAGCAGCCCGCTGGGAGGAAGAGTTTTAAGGTCCTCCGTTAAGGCAAGTAAACATCCGGTGCAGAGATCCAAGTGAGACAGTAATGCACGGAAACATTGGGTTATGGTCTCCCCTTGAAGCAACAACAAGGTCAGCTGTTCGTCTCATCACCCATTGTGTGAAAACAGGGTGGCTACAGGAACAGGCTTGAAAGTGGAGGCGGCGCAGGAACCTATTTCCGCACACTTTTGTTAAACGGAGTGTCCCGCGTTTGTATAAGGTTTTGAACTGATGTAGTCATTTTGAAGATCACTCAACGCAATTCACAGCAATCACATTGAGACTGCAAATATTCTTGTTTCTGAGCTTGAAGCACGCGAACATGTGTATACTTTTTCGCATAACCTCTTTGAAAGTCACCTTCACATGTATGACGTTATAGAAACGTCACGTGAATGCCCCGCCTCAATGGTTATGTTGTGCTCAGTCAGGGCAAGTATGTTTGTCGCGTCGGTCGCATGTGGCGTCCATGCGCACGATTTCTGGACAACGGGCGGCAGTATGCTCTCAACCATTGCTATGTAAGCTATCCAAGATTCTAACGCGAATTCTAAGTTGTACCGATGATACGAAGTCATATATTTTTCATTATGCATTCTTGGGCGGCGCCCGAGCCTCCGGATAACGCGTGCCGGACGGTCCGGGCGACCCACAGCTCAGCAGCGCCCGTGCAGTGCCGTCCGCCGCACGCCAACAGCGGCGGTCGCGCCCGCGTGTCCCGCCGACGGCCCGGCGCCTGCCTGAGCGACGGGGCCAACTCGCCGCCACTGCCGCCGCTGCCGCCGTCACATCGGACGTCGGGGCCGACGTGCCGCCGCCGCTGCCGGCACCGCCGTCCAATAGGCCGCGGTCCCATCAGCGCGCATAGTTGGCGGCCGGTGTCCTCGCCCGGGCGTCAGCTGACCCGTCGGGCCTCGCCAGGTCCCGCATAGGTCAGCTGCGGCGCGGGCGGGCTGGCACGCCAGCCTCGCTACAGCCGCGGCAGCCCCGTCACAGCCGCCGCAGCCCCGTCACAGCCCACAGCCGCGGCAGCCCGTCACAGCTCACAGCCGCGGCGGCCCCGTCACAGCCGCCGCAGCCCCGTCACAGCCCACAGCCGCGGCAGCCCCGTCACAGCCCACAGCCGCGGCAGCCCCGTCACAACCGCGGCAGCGTGGGTACAACCGCGGCGTTCTCGTCATTGCCGCGGAAGCCCGGTTACAGACGCGGCAGCCCCGTCACAGCCACGACAGCCCGGTCGCAGTCACGGTAATCCGTCACAGCTCACAGCCACGGCAGCCCCATCACAACCGCGGCAGCCCCGTCACAACCACGGCAGCCCCGTCACAGCTCACAGCCGCGGCAGCTCGGGTACAGCCGCGGCGTTCTCGTCACGGCCGCGGAAGCCCGGTTACAGCCGCGGCAGCGCGGGTACAGCCGCGGCGTTCTCGTCACAGTCGCGGCAGCCCCGTCACAGCCGCGGCGGCCCCGTCACAGCCACTGCAGTCCCGTCACAGCCACTGCAGCCCCGTCACAGCCACTGCAGCCCCGTCACAGCCGCGGCGGCCCCGTCACAGCCGCGGCGTTCTCGTCACAGCCACGGAAGCCCGGTTACAGCCGCGGCAGCGCGGGTACAGCTGCGGCATTCTCGTCACAGCCGCGGAAGCCCGGTTACAGCCGCGGCAGCCCCGTCACAGCCGCGGCAGCCCCGTCACAGCCGCGGCAGCCCCGTCACAGCCGCGGCAGCCCGGTCACAGCAGCGGCAGCCCGGTCACAGCCGCGGCAGCCCCGTCACAGCCGCGGCAGCCTGGTCATGGGACCTACACCGCAGCTAGGGCTGGGAGCTTCCAATTCGTTGAAACTTTCCACGGCGGCCCTTCCAGAAATGTAACAAGACTTGTTTCATAAATATCGAAGAAACTACTCATAATCTCGGAAGCAAAAACACAAGGAAATGTTAAAAACCTTCTACAAAACTAACGGATTTCCGGCTCAACTTTCCAACAATGTTTTAATAGAAAGCTAACATTTCTAGAGACACAGTTGTTCGGTGGCTACAAAGAGGTGCCAATCAAAAATATCTAAGATTTGCAGTCATGCATGCATTGACGGTTTTAACCAGAGTGTATGAAATGTCCGAGACATTCCGCTTCGGCAAATTAACAAACACACCTTCCGGCTTTGCCTTGTCCAGCCATAAAACCACACACATGAAGTACTACTCTTCCACAGCAGCAAATTCGTTTGCTGCGTGCATATTCTTTCAACTAGTTATCGTTGTCTGGCACTCCAACATATGCCTGTGAGCCAAAAGCTTCAACAAAACGGACGCTCACAGCTGGTGAATGAGGCGCCATCCAAATAACCATCCACAGGGTCTCGGCTTTCCTTGTCTGTCGCAACTATCGAATGCATATATCCATCCGCAACAAATATTCATTGCTTATCAATTCAAAACTTGTCGGGAGCTTGCCGGCAAGGCAGTGCGAGAGCATATATAGACCCGGTACAGCAATTCCAGCTCTCTCCAGATGCCACGAAACGGTGAAACGGCGCTGCGGAGGGCGTTCATTGAACTGCTCAGCCCACCGCTGGCGGCCAATCAAATCAGGCTATTTCGGGCCGGTCTCGGTAGCGACGGTGGCCTGGTCTTGGCAGTAGCACAGCTGCGGCATACCCGACAGCCGGAAACCCACGACACGGGCGTCGAGAGTCCGCTCGCGATGGAGGACAGCCGCCAGAGTTCAGCCGGAGGCGACGCAGGTGCCGGCCAGGCGCGGTGGCAAGCCCGCCTCCCGGCTTCGAAGCTGGATCCGAAGCCAAGGTAGTGACATGGGACTGAAATCGAATTTGAGGGCGTTGGCTTTACGGCTCAGAGCTGGCGGGAAGTCTGAGCCGAAGTCAGAAGCTTTTATGTTTAAAACGCGAAACCAAAGCCAACGCCATTGCCCTCGAACCTCACACACAACAAGCCAAAGCCGAAGCCAACGGCTTCGATCCTAGAGAAAAACGGAGCCAAAGCCAACACCAATAGTTCAAGTCACGAGCCCCCGTACCAAGCTGAATCTAACGTGTAACGTTACGTTGCGAAACCAAAGCCATTTGCGCGTATGCTAAAACTGCACGAGATCAGGAAATGTCACAAGAGTTCTGCAGAGTGATTGAGACAAGGTGTTAGCACTACGGATAAGACATGTCTTGTTTTCGGACTGTCATCCTCGTCGTGCGTGTTTGTATGTACACCACGTTTCGGACAGTCAGCTATCACCCGGCCGTCATCGGAGTCAATCGGTCCTGAGAGTGACTGGCAGGTTTTGACTTTTAACCATGAATGCGTCGCAGTCTTGGAAAGCTGGGTGGTATATTGGCATGACGACACAGACAGGACTCGTTTTGCGAAGTCAAGCAGTAACACCAGTGAAAGGAATTGTCATGACAAGTACAAACCCAGCAGTTCAAGCTCGCATTGAGCCAAAGCGGGGTCATTATTTAAAACTTGTTCGAACCGACGTGGGGGTCGACTGTTAAAAATGTCACAAAGTAGAACACGAAACCGAAGTCAGCTGTTCAAAACGTCACAAAGCCGAAGCCGAAGCCGAAGCAATCGTTTAAAATAGCATGAAGCGGAGGCCGAAGCAGAAGCGGGCTCTGTCTCCATGTCTGGAGCCGGCCAAAGCGCGGTGGGAAGCGCTCAGCCGACCCATGTGCCGGCCACCGACCAGCACAGCACAGCGCCGTGTCTCCGGAGCCGCGCGACCCAAGCCTCGACGGAGCCGCCGCGCCCGCCGCCGCACCCGCCGCCGATCTGTGCCGCGGCGGCAGCGGCGGACCATCTGGCGGGCCGCGCGGCACGCTCGCGGCCTCGCCATTGTGGTGGTATATGGAGCAGGGCGTGCTCATCAGCCCGCTGTCTACACCACCAGTCTCCCTCGGCCGCGCACCCGGCCCGGCACGCACAGCTCCCGTTCCCACCGGCGTCGGCGACACATGGCGGCGGGGACACCGACGGCGGCCGGCGCTCTTCCAACAGACTTGAGGTGGGGCGAGGGGGGGGGGGGGGAGAAGGAGGAGGAGGAGGTAGCGAGGCAATGCATGGTCACTCCGCCTTTTACATTTCAACGCCCACGAAACCGTCACTGAGGCAAGGCGCATGTAATGGTGCCCAATCGGCAGAGGCCGAATGCACTGTCGCCATATCATGAAGCCCCTGGGGTGCACTGTGAACTTCGTGAGTCAGACGTCAACCGCGCGCGCCTGAGACACAAGGGCGTCGCTTCCGGACGCCGGTACGGAAGTGAGTGATGGCCGCGTGACGTCAAAGGCCAGGTCGAGCCCCCCCCCCCCCTCAGAGCCAGCGCCAGCGTTCAGACCTGAGAGGCCGGCCGCCCCCGGACCGCACACCCGTGCACTGCATGTCTTCTGAATACCGATGGGCGGGTGTTTGGCGGCGCGGCGGCGCGGCCTCGGCGGCCTCGGCCGGCCGGGGCCGGGTGAGGCACGTCACGAGCGCCCGCAAGGTCACCCTCGGCCGCGCCGCCCATGTCGGTCAGGTGACCCGGCGCCCCGGCGGGCTGACCCGGCGTCGGGCGTGCTGGCAGCCACTGCTGAGCTGGATCAGACTTGAGCGAACACAATCGTGCGGCAAGGTTCTTCGGAGGTCGTTATGTCGTCACTGAATGAATGGTCACTAGCCATTCATTCAAAGGCCGGAATGCCACTGGGGGAGCGGGAGGATTCGGGTCCGGCCTTCCCACGTCTAAAACACTGCTGAAACAAGGCTCTGGGCTTATGAAAGCACCAAAAATGTAGCCACAGCCTTTTCGTGTGCCGCATCATTAAGTTTTCCTGATTTCCAACGCTTTCTTTTCGGTGCGTTTACGGGCGCATTGCCGCGACAACGACAGCCACAGCGTGGGCCGAAAGCACGCTCGACGATTGACACAAGAACCACGCGCTCCAAGAGTTGCGTGCACCGGTGTCGTTGATCAAACTGCATGATGAACATGGCTACATTCCACATGGGTCAAACATTGACATTCAGTCACTAGGTTTCAGGCCTTTTCCACGATGATCGTCATCAAACATGCTGTTCCCGAGCTGAGGTGAGCGCAACGGGCCGCGGAAACGCTAGAAAAGCGAAGAAAGACGGAGAAAAACACCCCTCTTTAAGCCACTTCTTTCTACAAACGAGAATATCATTGCAGATAATTCTAAAATTTACAAATACTGCTAAAAAAAAAAAAACATCAGGTTAACGGGGAGAGGGGCGCCAATTGGTATACCATGGGCCCGACGCCTGCGCCGCCTCCCACCCCGTGCTCCTCCAAAACCCGAGTTCTGGGTGGAAAATGGCAACATCGAGGCGAGACACTAGAGTTCCAGCCTTTGGTGGCCGATGTTGATTCCACAGCGGCTCTCTGGATACCACACAGTTTAGACATTGTAAAATAGGTAATATCTTGACTGCCGCGTGTCAGACAGGGTTGCAACATTAATCAAAACTTAGGTTTGGACCGTAGGTCCGTCACTCGCAACCCATGGCACGTAGACTGGCTCAGCCTTGGAGTAAATCCGCCGCATGATTTCAGACACGTCCTTGCGAGTTGATCTCCCCATATTCGGCTAGCTCCCTGCTTTTCTGAAGTCACCGCCTGGGTTTTCGCTGGATGCACTGCACCTACCACATACTTGACTGCCGCCTTCGCCCGTATGAGCGCGTGAACGCTGACCGGCCCCGCGCAGCCGGCGCGTGAGGCCCCTGTCTGGAGGGGATCGCTGTCTGCCAGACGGGCTGCCGAGCTCTGAAATCGACTGGCGACGCCGACTGACGCATCTGGCAGCAGCCAAACAGCGCACCGCCCTCCATCCCAGTCACGAGCGCCGTTCAATACTTCAACTGACTGCTGGGCTAAAAATATCGCGCCGACGGTCCACCTGCGGACGACCGTCGACCTTCGGCCACGTCGGAGCCGCCTCAGAGCATCGCCGGCAGAACTGTATGCAGTGACGCCCGCATCCGCCGGTCCGAACAAGGCAGATGTAACTCAATTGGCCGTTTTCTTTTCAGGAGAGGAATTGCATTCCGTTCTTCCAAGCTTACGTGAGAAGGACGAACACAGAGAGCTGCCGCAACCCGGAGCAGAGAGTTATCAGAAGTTGCACGAGCGCGCTTATTTGCGGACATATGTTCGAACAAACGTGTTATTCAATAACCTGTATCACTGCATGACGGACAAGGTATTTTACTTTTTACTGTGAAGAACAAAATAGCGCTGTCTCACCATAGATATCACGAAAAGCGCGCCTGCCAGCGGCATCTCACCAACGGTAGAGCACTGCCACAGACATTTCAGGCAATGCACGGCCCTGTGCCACCTGACGGGTAAGACAGGCATGCATTTTCCTGTCCATTTGCTGAGTCGCTACGCCGGTGCGGGGTTCCGCATATATGTAGATGGCATGGTCCGCGCTTCTCTACGCACTTATTTGAAGGCAGCACACGCGCAGGCAAAAAGCTCACGTTCACGCGTGCGTTTTTTTCTGAATTACGCCATGCGTAACAACACGAGTCATTGAGACACGTCGCTAGTCGCGCTTCTTAGGCATGTGACATGTAAAAGCGATGCAGGCGTGAATACCCCCACGCCCTTTTCTCCAAGCCGAGGCTTGAAGAGAGGCGAGGCAAACCCGCGTAAACCAACGATAACAAACACCCTTTGGAACTGGACCGAAGCGGTACTTTCTTGTCCTTGCGCTTAAACTAGCACTACTTTGTTCGATGTATATCCCGCTACGCCAGAAACTAAGTATACGAAACAAACGTATTCGTGGGCGTTTATCATACATATAGGTAGACCACATCAAGTGTGTATGAAGTGCATTGACGCCAACAGCCCGACCAGTCCTTAATGCGACAACGCTGTCCTTGGGAGCAGCCAGCCACGGCAGATGACGCCGGCGGCCCAAATGTATGCTGTAGAAGCCGCGACATCGATCAACCCACATTTTCCTGATCTAAAGGGCATCATAAATTTCCCAACTCTGCTACTTTCGGTTCATAAACTGGATGAATGGGCTTGCGAGACCAGTCCGGCTGTGAGAGCAAAGGGCGCAGGCGCTCCTGGCCAAACATCTCCACCCGTGAAAAACAGCGGGGCAGGGTTTCCGACCCCTCCGCGAGTCTCAAGGTCGTCCACTCACCCCTGGCGATCCTTGCCCCGCTTGTAGAGCGCCGTGAACCGGCGGATGGCGGACTTGCGCGTCATGCTGGCTCGAGGCGGCGGACCGGGCGCCACACGAGCACCGCGCGTCTCCAGAGCCGACTGTCGGCCGCCGTTTGAATCGAAGCCGGCTGGCGGCCGGTCCGGCCCACTCGCTCGGGCCGCGGCGGCGCGAGTCAGCTGACTCAGCGGGGGCGGCGGGGTCGGCGGGGAGGGGGCGGCCAGCGTCAGACCGCGGGCCGCGACCAGCGCCGGCAGACGGCGGCGGGGAGGGGGCGGCCAGCGTCAGACCGCGGGCCGCGACCAGCGCCGGCAGACGGTGGCGGGGAGGGGGCGGCCAGCGTCAGACCGCGGGCCGCGACCAGCGCCGGCAGACGGCGGCGGGGGTGTCGGCGGGGAGTACGCGGCCAGCGTCAGACCGCGAGCCGCGACCAGCGCCGGCAGACGGCGGCGGAGGGGTCGGCGGGGAGTACGCGGCCAGCGTCAGACCGCGAGCCGCGACCAGCGCTGGCAGCCGGCGGCGGAGGCAGCGGCCAGCGTCAGACCGCGGGCTGCAACCAGCGCCGACAGGCAGCGGCGAAAGGCGTATATAGACTGAACACCTGGACAGGTGGACCGGGTGACAGGTACCCGTGGGCGACGGTGGAGCTCAAGCGCAAATGCCTCTAAACTCCTGCCGGACTTTCAATGTTTTCAACGGACGATAATTAGGACTGAGCATAGAGATAATATCTGTGGAGAACGCAGCATCCCATACATTGCCGCAGAAAACTTGTCCTGACTCGCGCACACCAGCAGTGACGATAAAACTCCGGAGTGACCAAATGAGGTCAGTGCTGGGCCGCGTGCAGGATCGCGCCACGTGACAGAAGACCGCTGTCGGACCGTGGGAAGCGGCAGCGTACAACCGTGGGACACTCACAGTGTTGGGCACTCGTCCTAGTGACCGAGCGGTGCTGGGGAAATAAACAGGACAGTATCGAACCCAAGGCCAAGCCAGTAACGGGCCATCTGGCAGGACAGTCGTCGAGAGACAGTGGTGGTCTGTGCTTCGGGACGGTGCACCGGGCGTCGAGTCCGCCGGCGATGTCGGAGCGTTCGTGTGACGCCGGGGCCGGCCCGACAGCGATGTTGGCGCGTCGGTGTGACGCCGGGGCCGGCCCGACGGCGATATTGGCGCGTTGGTGTGACGCCGGGGCCGGCCCGACGGCGATGTCGGCGCGTTGGTGTGACGTCGGGCCGGCCCGACAGCGATGTCGGCGCATCTGAGTGACGCCGGGGCCGGCCCGACAGCGATGTTGGCGCGTTGGTGTAACGCCGGGCCGGCTTGACAGCGATGTCGGCGCATTTGAGTGACGCCGGGGCCGGCCCGACGCCGACAACGGAACGTCGGTGTGACGCCGGGGCCGGGCCCGGGAGCTCAGGGAGACGCCTGGCGGTCAGCGCCGCCGGAGCGACCGGTGACGCGGCGGCCCGGGCGGCGGCCAGAGTCAACACCGGCCGCCGGAACCGGCGTACTAGAGGCGTCACCGGTCCGCCCCTCCCCTCCCTGCACGGCACACAGCGGGGAAATCCCTCAGCCGGGACGGCACAAGACACGCCGGCTATCCCGACCGCGGCCACCGGTCCCTGGCTTGACCGTGGGAGGCTCCCCGGCGTGTGGGGCTGCTCCCGACAGGACCGTAGTAGCGGCCCCTGACTGGCGCGTGAGGAGGGAAGGGGGGGGGGGGGTCACCAGCGGGTCACGGCCTACCGTTAGAGGCGGGCACAGCCGGACACTGAGCTGAGGATCGCCACATACGGCTCCAGCGGCGGTGATACATGTCGGTACAAGTGGAGCCGGGCTTGACGATTTGGAGCTAACCTAGTTCGCTTCGAGAATGGCTGCTTGGATGACTGGTGGTTTGAACCATTTGATTTGAGTCCCCTCAGAAAATTATTCGGTTCAAAGAGGATCCGTATCTAACTAAATATTCCTTCCAAAAAGGACTTTCAGGATCCCAGCCTGTGTTTTAGTGCTCTAAACACCTTAAAGTATTAAACGGGTCAATAGTCTGTTGACTAGAACTGAATGTCACGGTTATTTCTGACGCGACGTTCGTTCGAAACCATTAACCTTATGCTTTTCCAGAGTCGTGTGTTCTAAATAGCAGAATACTGCCATAATTTACTTGGTTTGCGACTAATCGCGTCAGCTACATCATTTCACTTTCGAACAGGCCATGACAACGCTGCACGTCACCTCGCGCAATAACGCTGCGAATACAGAGGTAACGTGGCGCTGCCACGGATGTCGAGATGCTTCCCGTCCAATACAATGTCACATGGCGCCGCCACGGATGCCGAAACGCTTCCCATTGCTGGTGTTCCTGCCCTATCGCTGCAAGTACAGATGTCCCATAGCGCCGCTACGGGTGCCGAGACGCTTCCCATTGCTGGTGTTCCTGTCCGAAGTTCGAGTCCGATGGGCTAACGGTGTGTCTTGACATTTGTCCGAGTTCAACATGCTCCTTAGACGGCAAAACTACGCGCCGGTGCTGCAGCTTTCTTTCGCTAACTGCACTTTTACGATGTGGTTCTAGCCGGGCACTGCGGTGAGTCAAATAGTTTCCCCTTAAAGTGCCGTCAAATGGGTTTGGTCTTCAGGCCATTACAATAGCTGGCAACACCACTTGTTACAAAGGCGACATTTATATGCGTTGTTCAGGTCCCACCAACAGCGAGCAAACACTGTCGAGTTTAAATATGCATGGTGGCGGCTCTCAGCAGCGTACGGGAAGGGTTGGTGCAACCCGATCACTTCCTAGGCACCCAAAGTCGCTTGACGGGTTATGATGCAATTTGGGTCAGTCCAGTTTATGACCATTATGGAACCATCACCATGGGACGTGACCTGAATCTAGCCGTTTCTGAATTCTTGTTCTAGAGCAGGCGCAGAATCCACGATCTGGCCGAACTAGTGACCATGCAGCTCACTGTCTCTTCCTGCCGCCAGTCCCAGCAGGGACAGCGAAACCAGACATGACGGCATTCAGCCAATGTTGAGCTTTGCGCCACGCGCGCGAGATGGCGATGGTGTTGCCGCAGACGCGTCCAAGGTCGGTGCCGCATGCAGCGATCAAAACAAACCCAATCACGCTCACTGGGGCGCGCCCGATAAGGAGACAATAGCGTGCCAACAGTATCGCCACGTCTTGTCCTTCGAGTCATTACACTGACAAAGGGCCGGCCGGGAGCGAGGGTAGCCAGACCGGGGCACCAACACGAGCTCCAAGGAGAAACGAGGACCGCCAGACACGGCGTACCATCAGCTGGACGGTCAGGACAGGCGTGTGACGGTGAGATTTGGACAAATGGCGTCTTGACCTGGGGGCAGCGCATTACATTAGGAAATAGACCCCCCCCCCCCGCTTCCCCCCCCCCCCCCGCTGTTGAGTCATCCCCGACCGTCCTCTGACCTGCCCCGGTCATTTCTGGCCGCTTCCTGGCCGTCTCCGGCCGCTCTAAAACTGTAAGGGTCTAGAGGTAGACTGCATGCGAGTTAGACCCCGAGAGGATGCCTGCAGTGGGCTAGCCGGGCAGTGTGCCTAATGTCCCGTTGGCGCCGGGGCAGTGTGCCTGCCGTCCCGGCAGGCCCGGGGCAGTGTGCCTGCCGTCCCGGCGGCCCGGGGCAGTGTGCCTGCTGTCCCGTTGGCGCCAGGGCGGTGTGCCTGCTGTCCTGGCGGCGGCTCCACCCACCTGGCGACGTTCTCCACACTGACGACACTCGGCGTGGCGATGTTGTACGGCTCGTTGTAAGCCGACGACGTGTCGAGCGGCGCTGCGGGCAGAGGGCACAGGGGGGCTCAGGTCACGGCTGCAGGTCAAGGGTCACACTGGTCACGGATGTGACGGTAGGTCACGGCCAATTGTCACGAGTGACGTGTCAAGGAAGAGCTATGGCTGCGGGCTATGACCGTGACATCAGGTCACCGCCACATGTCACGGGAGTAACACCAGGTCACAGCTGAATTTCAGTGGTATCAGTGTTTCCAGAGACGTACAGTTGGATGAGAAATATGCAGAAATATGAGTTTGCGTGTGAGATACCGCTTTTTGGTTTATGACCAGGGGTCAGCTGCTAACGAGGTCAGACTGCTCAAAGCAGTTAACTTCGCTACCAGAGTAGCTACTGGCCTACGAAAGCATGACCACGTGTCTCGCGCGCGGGATAACCTGCACTTTGCCACGCCTCGCCAAATATGTAACGTAAAAACTGTTATTGCTGCGCAAAAAGCCCGTGAGCGAGGCGGACCTGAGGGCCTTGCCTGTTTACTTCAAGAATACGCTGACGTGCGGACCAGTGACCGAACTACCCGCATGGACCACAACCTGCACCTCCCAGCAAAGCGCACGGCGGCAGGACAGCGGTCCTTTACCTACTAAGTGGCGTTTCTCATTAGTGAAATGCCTGTGGATGTTCGGCGACGGAATTCCAGAAGCTTTGAGCGCGCTGCCAGGTCCTTTTTGTGTGATAGGGTAGTCTCATTCTCTTTATGCGTGCATGCGCTCGTGCGTTTTTCATTCCTTATCACTCTCCGTTCTTTTTTATATACTGCTTTATCTCTCAGACCAATGACACGTAATATCCAGGTATTCATGTGGAGTGTCGAGTGGGGTCAAATAAATAAATAACTAAATCAATCAATAAGCTTTCAAATTTGCAGCCTCTGGTGCCTACTAGACCTTCTCCCAGACTTTCATGCCATCTTGCTCCTCATTCCCCTTGAGACCAGCCAATCGCCGTTGAAGAGAGAACGTTTCCCACGAGGGTCTGGCCACCCCAGGCAATCAGCGGGAAGAGGTCACTCTGCGACCCGCGGTGATCGCTCAAACCTGTGGTGGGACAAGTCTAACGACATACATTTCAGTCTACACTTTTGATGCCTGACTGACTGACTTTGGGAAGCCTGAGAGCCGCGGAGCTATCGCCTCCTGATCGGCCTCACGTTCAGGCGGGTCCGAGCGGGCCTCGGCCCGCTTCCTGCTCGTGACCACAGCGAGGCCGCGGGGTCTACTCGGAACGAGACGGGCCGCGCGAGTTGGGCACACTTCACAGTCGTAATTCTGGAGCCCCCCCCCCCCCCCCCCCCCTCCAAAGCAATTCCGCCACTGTCAGGAGCAGGTTCGCGGACCCGAGCCCGGCGCTCCCGCTCAGCCCGAATCTATCAGCGATGTGAATTGAACACACTATTTGTGGATTACTGATGTCGCACAAGTCACGCCCAAATCACCGGAATGCTCGACGAGGCAAGCCAGTGCCTGTGAACAGTCCTGAATGCACACCTCCCTCCCCCCCCCCCCCCTAACGATAACACCCAGGGGCGTATGGCACGAGTGTGATGTCATCGACAGTGGCGTGACGCCACCAAACGTGACGTGACGTCGGGGCACTCCGTGTGACGCACTCGTGATGTGACTGCGAGCGGGCACTCACGCGGCGGCGGTGTGTGGCCGTCCAGCAGGCCGTAGGTGGCGGCGCCGTTGGTGGCGGCGTGGCCGGAGTCGCCGCCGGGCGGCTGGCGCGCCACGGCTGCGACTGGCGGCGGCGGCGGTGGCGGCGGCGGCGTCCGACCGTCGTGCTTGGCCAGCGTCAGCACCACGCGGTCGGTGACGGCCTTCAGCGCCGCCACCGCCTCCTCGTGCGTCACGTTCAGCAGCTGCCGCTCCCCCCGCTGCAAGAGCCGGCCGGTGAGACGTCAGCCACGACAGCCGCCCAATCATCAGGACGACGGCTCTGTCAGAGGACTCAATCGTCAGTAGGCTGTCCGCCAGAGGACGACCTGCCGATAACGCGTGATCGCGCTGATCCCCGCCGTGGTCCGTAAAGCCGGCCAGGCAGAGCGCGTAAGGCGCTGACGTGGCCCGGCCGGAAATGTCCTCATCGCGGCCCTCTTGCCGGAAATGATGATAAAAGGTGGCTAAGCGACCAGCGGGAGCTAAAATAGTTTCGTTCGGACGACAATGCTGGGCCGCTCGCCCCATGGCCTCCTAGCCAGAAGTCTTCATCCGCTATCCGCTGTACTGAAGTTAGGGGCACGTATGTCATACTTTGCATGACAGTTGATAGACTTTTAACAAGCAAACAGGAGTTTTAATGGCGGCAGACATACATACTAATCAGTTACTGCCCTGGCAACTAGTCAGGCTAGCACACTTAATAACCTGAACATGTTTCGTGGGCGGCGAATGCAACAGTACCAGACTGCATCAATGACGCAGCTAGCTCACACCTGCTGAACTCGCGCCAATCGGTTTCCGCTAGGCCCTCCTACTTAGATCAGGCGGTGGCTCGTTTTGTGGTCGGCGCTGCTCCGTTATACTCCGTTAATGGAAGTGTGTGATCAAGAAAGTGACCGCACTAACACCTAATGGTGCAATTAATTAATGGACTGATGTCGGTTTCTACTCCGTAAAACATTATCACATTAGGGGAGTGAAGCCGGCCAGCGGTGCAGTTGCTAAGCCTCGAACATCTTGAAGGAAAGGCTTCGACTCAGGAACTCGGGGCGAGCTTCTCGTCCCAGCTCTCACTCTCGCGTCACATGCAACGTTGAAGGGTCCCCACGCTAATGATCTTCAAATTTACATGCGTTTACATGCGTTACATGCGTTTACAATTTACATGCGTTTACAAATGATTCCGCTGCTCGAGGCGAGAGCAGTTAATTTCAACGTTACAACATAATTCTAGTCCTTGAAATGGAGCCAACATCAACTTCAGCCAGCGACGAGAGAGAGTGGAACGAATGCCCAATCTTTTCTAGCGTAGAGTATACAGCCTGCTCGGCCTGTGGTGGCGTCCCGCCACACCAAGCAAGCTGAGGTCAGCACTGCTCGGCAACGAGCGACGCGGGACAGGACAGGTCAATGTAGCGACGGGCCATGGGCCTCGTCCGCGCGGCCGACCTCTGCGAGGGATGCGGCGGAGACGTGCACCGCTCGCCCGCGTGAGGGGTGGCGGGCAGGCACGACGTACCCCGGCGTCCACGGCCACCAGTCGGTCCCCCACAGCCATGGTGCCGTCCTGGTAGGCCGCGCCATCCTCCATTATCTTCGTCACGTATATGCCTGGAACGGGCGCCGTTGATCGCGTCAGCCACCATCTCGCAACGGCACGGGCCACAAGCGCGGTAGGCATTTACAGTAAAAGTGCTTCTTCCACCACGGAGCTCTGTAATGGCCCGTTAGGTTTCGATATGGCCGCACGTGGTCGGAGAGACAGCACCAGGAACAGGCGACGTCACCGTGCTATCAGTGATGTCGCTCCGCGCCTCTACCAGCGGCGGTATCAGCAGTGGCCGATGACTCACGGCTATCTGTCGGCCGGTGTCGTATCTGAGCGATATGGCCGGCCGTTGCAGCCGGGCTGTGTCGGTGACGGTCGGCGCTCGGTCGGCGTTCGGCCGGCGCCGACAGGCACTCCGGACCCCGGCACACGCCACGGGAAACCGACTCGAAACCCGCCCAAGCCGGCCTCGAGCGGCAAGGCACACTCAAGTCACGTGCTTTGCTGCGGTCTTTGGTCGGCGCTCTCGAGGCTAACCCTACCGCCCCAGCCTCGCCCACCGAGATCGGATGCCACCATCCCCAGTTTCGTCCAGCGAGATCGGATGCCACCATCCCCAACTTTGTCCAGCGAGATCGGATGCCACCATCCCCAACTTTGTCCAGCGAGATCGGATTCCACCCTCCCCAGCCTCGTCCACCGAGATCGGATGCCACCCTCATCAGCCTCGTCAACCGAGATCGGATGTCATCATCCACAGCTTCGTCCACCGAGATCGGGTGCCACCCTCATCAGCCTCGTCCACCGAGATCGGGTGACACCCTCATCAGCTTGGTTACCGTTGTCGGCCGGTATGTGCTGGTTGCCGGTGCCGCCGGCGATGCTGAAGCCGAGGCCGCGGCTACCCTTGTGTAGCTCCAGCTGCACCAGGTACTCGGACCGCGGCTGCCGGCGCCGCCTCACCGACTGCCGGCACCGCGCCGGCCGGGCTCGGGTCAGCGAGCGCGCACCACCGCCAGTGACCACACGCAACAGCTGGCCCAGGCTGCTCAGCAGCGGTACACAACGTCACAGGAAACCACGAGAGAAAAAAAAACAACAAAAAACCCAGAAATTCCATCTTTATAGTTCCATGCGACGCCCGTGTGACACATGACTGATACAGAATGCTGTTTTGCTATTTTTGTGGTCGACAATTCACCGAGTACGGAGTGTATTATGCGAAGATACGCTTCGGCATACTTCAACATGATGTCAAGCATGAATGCGAAATTAAATCAAACTCGCACTTTAAATAATGCCAAGTGGCACCCCTAATCAAATTTCAACGGAATCTAATTTTTCAGATAATCCCAAGACACCACAATTCCAGCGAAAACGACATCTGACGCGTTTTACGTCCATTGGCACGCACGCACCATCAATCACGCCCGCATAGCGAGGCATAATTATGCTGTTTCAACACTTGATGGTAGCGAGCCAAACAGCGCTCGTGCTCGTGGGAGCGTGCGCCTTCCCAAAATGTGGAGGAGCCCAAGAGGGCGAGCGCGTGGTGAAAGGGGAGCGACAACAAACGAAGGGAAATAGAACTAAACAAGATAGGACAAATACAGAGAAGTCTTGCTTCGCAGTAGAGCATCACCATCATCAATGGAGCCTCCGGTCATGCCCTGGACCTCACCAGCTGGACGTTGGTGCCGGCCTTCCTCAGGGCGTCGACGGCCTGCTCGTGGGTGACGTTGGCCACGCTGACGCCGTTCACGCGGGCGATGATGTCGCCGACTCTCAGCTGACCGCCGGTGGCCGCTGTGCCGCCAGGGATCAGCTTGGTGATGTAGATGGAGGGGTCGTCCCTGGCGATACGGTGGCGACGTCAGGCGCGGGGTGACGTCAGGCGTGGGTTGACGTCACGAGCGGGGTGACGTCAGACGCAGGGTGACGTCACTACTGAGGTGGCGTCAAGAGCGGGGTTTACGCTGGGTACGGGGTGGCGTCGGGTACGGGATCAGGTCAAGTACGGGAGGCGTCGGATGCAGGTTAACGTCAGACGAGTGGGAGAGCACAAGCGTGATGGTGCTGCACTTGAGCAGCTCACGCCAGCTGGGCTGCGGTGCTGTGGAGCTGCGGACTTCTCGACGCCGTCTCATTGACTGGGGTCTGGGCGGTGCGGTTTCGCCAGCAATCAGTTGACATGATGCAGTTTTTGGAAACGATTACACTGTAGCTAAGTAAGCATCGAAAGTTTTTGGCATCGTAGCAGCGGCGGCCGATCACTTACTAAAGAATACAACGCAAACCACCCCGCGTGTAATCAGCAAACCGCGGAGAAGCAAATAGAGGGGAAACGGGAGCAAATAGCGAATCTCCGGTTCGTGTTGTCACAAAAATGCCCTGAAGACCTAGTTCTTAGCCGGAGGCAACGGTCCCATTAGATGAGATTCACCGAGTTAACTCAGCTTGGTGACATTATCAGACCGAATCAGCTCGCGACTGCATCAGACTGAGTTCGCTCAGAAACGATGCATATATTGATCTAGCTGAGATTACGGTCAGTGTCTTTGAAGAGTATTGGCGGCTTGCGAATGCAGGACTGTAAATTCGAGCACTTACACCGAGCCACCCCCGCCCACGCGCTGTACTGTGCATGAATACGACACTTCGAAACTACGGCCGCGGGCCAGAAATATCACGAAAGAACAGGTCAAACGCCGAGGCTCACGTCACAGGCCGTCACGACCCGTGACGAGATCCGTCACCGGCTCTGACAGTGACGGAGCAACCTAACACATTTGGGCATCACAGTTCGCGCGCAAACAGATCGCAGGGTGCGAGAAGGGACGTCAACACCAGACATGGCTGGCGTCTGTGCGCTATAACTGATGCGACACGAAGACGGGGAGACATCCGAGCACGAGGAGACGGCGAGCACTGACCCGACATGCGGGTTGTCGCGGCCCCCGGCGATGCTGAAGCCCAGGCCTTGGCTGCCCCGCCAGAGTGCCACCTCCTCATACACCCAGTCATCGTCGCCGTTCAGCTGGAAAAAGAACACGCCACAGGTCAACGTCTCCACCCGTCGATTGTGCTCACCCTACACTGCCCTGGCATGGCCGCGACTGATGACGAGCCGCGCTGCACGTAGGCGATGCTGACACTATGTTTTGAGCTTCTGAAAGTTTTGACAAGGCACATCACATCACTGCATCAATGGTCACCTTAAAGGTGACCGGATGTTAGTGGCATTTACGAAATCTGCTATGCAATTTACAGTACGAAGGCATTACAGTACAATAGGGAAATTGTTAAAAGTGAACAATTTCTTCTATACACCTCCCTAGACCCATGTTTTGGTTGAAAAAGATGGAAGGGGGGGGGGGGCATATGACTGGCTCCATCGGCGTACGGGGTACGGCATGGGCCAGAACGGTCCTTTGACCTCGATGGCTGCCCGCCAGGTGGCAGATCAAGGTGCCAGATCAGATGCTATCGTGCGACCACTGCTGTTGCCACCAGCCGCCAGCCCCCATCCCCCGTCACCACTAGGTCAGCGGCGTCCAGGCGGAACATGAGCCGACGGGGGGAGGACGGGGGGGGAAGGGGGGGGGGGCGCCCGCTTCGTGCTCCAGACGGGGCGCCGGCCCCCGGCCGGGACCGGGCGGGCGGCGCCGCGGCGCCTGCCCCACCGCCCCGATCGGACGGCGCAGGCCAGCGCTGCCCGGAACGACTCTGCCCATACCTGGAGATCTAGACTTTGAGACGACGGGCGCGCTGAGCTGGGACCGCACGCAGAGCCACAGTCATTGTGGTGGCTTTCCTGGCCCCCAGCATGACTAAGCGCGGAATGCCGGCGACTTGGGACGGAAAATGTCGCCAGGTGTGCGAGGCTACACTAACCAAGAGGCGAGCGGGTCGCCAGACCAGTGCAGGAAAACTGCAGTCTATTCGAAAGGTTATTCATTGTCCCTTGGGAGCTAAGATCAGTTTGCATCTAAGCTTCACTTCTAAGTGGGGCTGGTCGACGCACAGTGGCGTGCTGATGCCCGATATGCCGTGGGGATGCCTCGCGCCAAGTCTCCAGTCGCGAGTCACAAAACGTCAGCACGGGCCGCTCCGGTCTCCCCTCCAGCCTCTGACTGTGACCGCGCGCCTGCGACCCAGCCGACAGCCCTTGACTGCCCGCCGTCAAGCCTATGGGCGGCCAGCGCTCATGTCATCAGCGCTCGTCAGAGAGCGAGCCAGCTACAGAGCAGATCGATCCGCAGCGCGCGCCTGGGCGCCAGCTCGTGTTCCCGCGGCCTGCCGCCGTAACGCGATACCTGGGGTGCGCGCGGTGGCCGCGGTGCGAGGCACCGCCGCTCTGTTCGACCAACAGGCGGCACATGGGGCGACCGCAGCGGAGCGGGCGGCGCGCTGCAGGGGGCGTCAGCGGCACGGACGGAGGCGGAGGACTGGCGGGTCAGCCAGACTGCCGCCAGCACCAAACAGTGGCTCACAGGGTGTACCGGCTGTGGCCGAAGAGAGGAGGCCACGAAAACTGACAACAGGAGGGACGAGCCGGTGGGCAAAGCCATCCACGACACGGCAGAGGTCAGGAGGGCTGACGACACACGCAGCATGCGGGGCAGCGAAACCATGAATGACGGGACAGCGCGGGTAAGAAGAAACAACGGCAGCGAAAAGGCCAGCAGAACGGACAGCAGCAGGACAGGCCGCAACAGAAGAAGACGGGCACCGCCGGAGAACATTATCTGGGCCCGATCAGATGGGGACCGGCCAGAGTGAGCCGGACCGGGCCGACCGGACCGGCCGGGGCGGATGGAATCATATTCATCAAAGCCCACCACGAACTTTACCCGTCCAGACCGCGCCCTTCCCGGGCTCAAAGCTGGTAACGGACACACGTCTTGAAACCTGTGACTAAACATTTGTCCTGGATCCTGCTTTACCCGAATCGTTTTCATCTCTGACTCCCCTGAATCGCAACACATGGGCTTGGTTCAAGTGTCACGCCAAGCGAAGCCCAGTGCAACTTTGACTCGCCCCCAACTTCGATTTTTGAGAAATGGGTAAGTTCTGAAATCAGTTGTGATGGAGGCAATTCCTGAGACAGTAGTTTGGGAGATAACCCTATTTATGGCCTTCATGAAGGCAACAATAGATATTCATTTTGACAACAATAAGCCGGTTTATACGATCCTGTTGCATTTCGTGCACACAGGATCTGCCACACTTCTTTACACTTTAAATATGCCCAGTTGCGTGTGCCCAATCATTTACAATTGAGTCGACTCGCCAAAACTCCAGTTCCAACTCAGAAGAGAAAAAGGAAGATTCCCCTGTTTCAACACATTTCGGGGTCAATTCCAACTCCCCCGGTGTCAACCATAAGTATGCCATGACACAGTGTATTGTTCATGTTGGTGGAGGTATGACTTGACGCTTGCATGAGGCGACACAGACCAATGTATGCGTCATCACGGAGCTATGTTTGCAGCAATGTCTGCTGCATTGCAAGTAGGCATGTGCCTACCGTTCAAGAGCGCATTCATGCATCCCGCCCGTGCCCTTCGTTGTGGTCCTGTCGCAGCCGCGGATCTCAGATTCCATCTCCATCCAGGGGAAAACCTTGTGCACATAAACTCTGGCCAGCCTAGCCCTAATCGATGCCGCGGTTGCGTCCAGCCAGGATTGCGTTATCCCTCCCTCATTATCAGGGCTCAGGGTGATGCATAGCGCTAGGAGATGGACGGGGGGCTAGTTACGGTGGCTATTCGACTCGCAGGGCTTGGAACGCACCAATTGCGAATCAACAACAATCAATCAATCAACAAATCAACGCTGTGATGCATGATGACACACAAAAGGCCATCATAATGCACCCACCCATGGCCCTTTGTGAGGCACTTCACTGCCCGATTTTGAAATCATTTCCGCGCCCACCGCCTAATTGTCCCTTAAGTTAAAGCATGCGATGCCACGACGCAGTTCTGCCAAGGAAATTGTCGAGCAGAGAGAAGCAGCGCGCGGCCTTCAAAGGGTGCCAGATCCACACGCCAGAGCTCAATCACACGCCAGTGATGCCCCTGGGCCGGCCTCACTAACTCTCCGGCGCCCAACCATACGTCGTAGAAACGTGACCTCCGGGGACGCCTGCTCCTGGCCGGCGCCCGACGCCGCGGGACGGCAGTGTCGCTGGGGCCCGCCGAGCGCGGCACCCCGGCCGCTGGGGCTCGCCGGGCGCGGCGCCCTGGTCGGTGGGACCGCGGGCGCGGCGCCCTGGTCGGTGGGCTCCCCGGGCGCGGCGCCCTGGCCGGCCGGCGACGCTGGCGGCAGAGCGCGCGCTGGCGGGCCGAGCCACGGCCAGCGGCCGGCCAGACGGCCGCATACCGGGCATGATAGCGACCGCCACGATAGGGCCGGCGGCCCGAGCGTGGCGCCGGCCGCTCGCGCCGGCGGAGCCTCTGCAGCGGCCCCTCGTGGCCCTGCTGGCCGCGCGCCGGACGCCGGCCGGAGCCAGCGCATGGCGCGGCAGGTCACGTGCAGGCGGCGGCGAGCCTGCCTGGCCGGCTGTGTCCCCGGTAGACACGCGCTCCCCCCCCCCTCCCTAGGCGGGGTCGGTGTGCACCCACCAGGCTGTCCTTGGACGTGTACTCCTTCCGGCGGCTCCTCATCCAGCGGCGGACGGGCATGGCGGCTCGGCGTCCGCGGTGGCGCCGGCCACCCTTCACCGGTACACTCCCTCGCACTGACGCACCCCAGCGACGCGCGGTCGCACGCGGCTGATCGGCACCACGCCGGCTCCGTCCCGTCAGTCCGCAGCACCGTCACCCGCTGCAGCCGGTCACCGGCCGGTCGCCGAGCACACGCCAGACCTCGAAATGCCGAACAGCGCGCCGGCGGCCGATACACACTCCGACATACAGCGCGCACCTGCGACCGCCGCCCGCGACCCACGCACTGGCCCACCGCGTCTGTGGCGGGCCGCCGCCGCCACCCCGGCACCTGTTGACCCGTGACGCAACACGAGGGTCCAGCCTCGGCCCGCCGTCCGGCCGGCTGCCGCCAACGCAGGGGTGCGGCGCACTCACCCCGGACGCGATGTCAGAGACTGTCCTACAGGTGCGACAGGTAGGCACGTATTTCGAATGCGATGAAGCGCCATTGGTGGCGCCGGCCTCGAGGCAACGGAGAATGCGGGAGCAGGGAAAATGGCGTCTGACGGTTGCGTTTCTGAAAATGATTTATTTCGTCTCCGTAAAACGACGTTGAAATCGGTATTCTGGCCATCAGGCGTGTGTACGCGAAACAAGGAAAACCATGAACTGGTTCAACCTTCGGTGCATGCCTTATACACATCTAACATAATGTACGGAAAAGTTTCGTGAAACTGTGTGCCGGAAAGTCCTCGTGAGACAGACTGTGCGGCCATATGTGCGTAAGGAGGCGTTCGTTTGCAAGTGTTTGCTCAACGCAAATGTGCAAGTGTGCGTGCTTGGAACGCAAATAGTATGATCGCTAGTACTCGCTTCTATGTCCCAGAATGTTCGAGCTGATCGCATTCCAACCGTGTGCGTCATATGCAAATGGGTAAATAAGTGCTAAATAGGCCAACGGAACTGAGCAGCCAGTAAAAACGAAATGATCAGAATATAGGACGGTGCTCGTGATTGTCTCGACGACGTAACACTTACACCCATTTTACTCGAAGCGTCGTGAAACACGCCTATCGGTGATGCATTCATAAGACTAACCATGCTAAGGTTTTTAGCTTTCCTCACTTGCGTTGCATTTTGTTGAGCTTGTACAGATTAATGTATTTGTGGAGCCGCCATCGGATAATGGATAACGATTTTCATCAATTTTTTTCTAAAAAAAAGGCCAGCTGCTCACTTCCGCCCGAATTCAACCGAAGACCCATGGAACGACCACCGCTCGCTCGCATTTCGATACACTCTGACGTTGCATAACGGGTCGGCTCCGGAGAATTAAGCACTTGATTGTGCCTTTCATCGCCTTTCCGTCAACGCGAATTCAACTTCGAGAACTTCCTTCGCCATCAACATGAATGATCGTCGCTTTTCAATGGCGTCAGTTCACTGCAGTCTCCGAGTTGTTATCATCTTCCAGGTTGCTTTCTGGTTCACAGATTGACGGTGAGAAGGATAGTGTACGCTGAGCACAAGAAATATATTTTCCAGCTCGTCTAACTTGCGTGCATTTCATGCCAACGCATATATTAGCTTTTCCGTCGTGCTGTGAGTGCTTTCCAAACTGCTGTAAACGTTTTCCGACCTGCTGTGAATGTTTTCCGACCTGCCGTGAATTTGCCACCCGCACACAGCAGCGAGGCTGACCAGTCGGGGGTCTTTCTCAGTCCCCACTGACCTGACTGGGACCGGAGCTGACCGGCCAGGGAGCTCTGTTCACTCTCCTCTCACCTGACTGGGACCGGAGCTGACCGACCGGAAGCCCTGTTCACTCTCCTCTGACCTGACTGGGACCGGAGCTGACCGGCCGGGGAGCTCTGCTCACTCTCCTCTCACCTGACTGGGACCGGAGCTGACCAGCCGGGGAGTCCTGCTCACTCTCTTCTGACCTAACTGGGACCGGAGCTGACTGGCCGGGGAGCTCTGCTTACTCTCCTCTGACCTGACTGGGACCGGAGCTGACCGGCCGGGGAGCCCTGCTCACTCCCTTCTGACCTGACTGGGACTGGAGCTGACTGGCCAGGAGTCACGCTCACTCTCCTCTGACCTGTCTGGGACCGGAGCTGACCAGCCGGGAGCCTTGCTCACCCTCCTCTGGCCTGACTGGGACCGGAGCTGACCGGCCAGGAGCCACGCTCACCCTCCTCTGACCTGATTGGGACCGGAGCTGATCGGCAGGGGAGCTCTGCTTACTCTCTTCTGACCTGATTGGGACCGGAGCTGACCGGCCGGGAGCCCTGCTCACTCTCCTCTCACCTGACTGGGACCGGAGCTGACCGGCCGGGGAGCTCTGCTTGCTCTCCTCTGACTTGATTGGGACCGGAGCTGACCGGCCGGGGAGCTCTGCTCACTCTCCTCTCACCTGACTGGGACCGGAGCTGACCAGCCGGGAGCCTTGCTCACTTCCCTCTGACCTGACTGGGACCGGAGCTGACCGGCCGGGGCCCTTCTCACTCCCCACTGACCTGACTGGTACTGGAGCCGTCCGCCCGGCCGGCCTGTTCGGCCCGGTCGCAGCCGGCGGCGCCGCGGACACCCTCATCGGCCGGCATGGCGGAGAACTCGTCCAGGCTGTTGCACGAGATGGGCGGCACCGTCACCGTCTCCGTGGGCGGGTCGGCCGTCACCTCCGGATCCGTCTTCTGCAACGGCCAGGACACGGCTGTGACGCTTGTCGGAGGCATGCGACAGGACAGCAGCGGCATGACGTGATGACAGAGGCCGTTCCGGCGTTCTGGTGCCTCCGCGCAGATGGACCACCAGGCTCGCTACAATGATGGGGGCGCCGAGACGCCGTGTGGTCGGGCTCAGAATAATGTGGGCTCAGAACTACGTGAACTAGCCAGACATCCTAACACCATTGGTGCTTGGATGTCTGGCTAGTTCAACGTAACCTTGAACATATGAACCTAACCTATATGAACCTAACCCATGCCTTGAAGCACCGGGGCGCCACTTGGTGACCGCTGCTGACTTCACGTTTAGAAGCGTCATTACAGGCGGCGGTCGTGGTGCATGACTCCAGGCTTTGATCAGCGCGGATCAAAACGTTATCTGCACTCAGAACACGCCCACAGTCATTATCTCATCAAGCATGTTGCATGGCTGAAAGCGACGACTAACAAGGCTAACTCAGTTAACGGGCCAACGACCGTGCTGGCTGCGAAAGCCGCGTAGTGCAGTGTGGAAAACCAGGACTGCTGTGGGAAGCATATGACATGGACGCATACATACAAATATGCATTATATATATATATATATATATATATATATATATATATATATATATATATATATATATATATATATATATATACATATATATATATATATATATATATATATATAGCACAGTACCATTCCGGAATTTTTCACTCTAACATACTGGGTCACAGTGGTGGGCACTGCACAGTGAAGCCAGGATATTGGTGCAGCATTCCCTGCACATACCACAGAATTATGGCACCAGTGGGTAGAAACCCCATCGCACGGATGCGGCGGTATTGTCGCCGTTTTCCTTTGCTTGGGATAAACTCGCTGTTTTGCCTGGAATACTAATTTTCATTTCTTCTGGAAATTCCAAAGATAGCAATTTTTGACAGCCCAGTCCCGTTCGGCTTGCAAAGCTAAGGATTGTTGCACGCAAGCTCTGGCGCAGGAGGGTGTTGGGCACCCCCCGTCAGGTCTCCCTTCGTTCGAGGTCTTCAGACTTTATTCAACGCTATATTTCAAGCATCCAAACACAGTTCAAAACAGTCAATTCGACGCACATTATTCAAAAATGTGTAGTTATGGACTGCTGAGTTTGCCTCCAGCGGTGACACTGGACAGCAGAAGCAATGTGATCTTCTTGCGAATCCCCGGGTGGAAGATCGCAAGAAGAGATCCCCACCCGTCCACCAGCCAGAGGCTAGCGGTAATTACCGTCCGGCAAGACAGGCCTAGAAGAGCCAGGGGACCACGCATGCTGCCATCTGCCGTCCTCCAGATTCGACCGGGCCGCCCGGAGCCAGGCTAGTCACGTGACCGCGATTAGTCACGGTCGCGGCCGCAAGCGCTGGCTGGCGATACCCCCTTGTAAACACTGTAAGCGTCCTTTGAGCGGTGTGTTTAGAGTATTCTTTCGGCACGTTCACGGTTCAGTCTCAACACAGGCCGCTGCAGAGTGCACGTTGCTGTGTTCCTCTTCAGTGTGTGTTGTACCACGCATGGACGTTTCGTCGAGTGACAGTCTGATGTGCGGAAAACGCGTCCATCCAAGGTGTGTTACCCCGCAATCTTTTTCCTTCAGAGCACGGGAGCACGTTATTTGTGTGCGCAATATCATGCAAGAAAGCCAATGGAGATCTTTGAGCGACAAAAGAAAGGTTTAAACTGCGCCACCTCATCAAACGTTCTCCTCATGAGATTGTATTACAATGTTGCCGCCTCGTGGGTAAACAATCGTCAAGCTGTGTGGTGTTAAAAATTCCCATGTCATAAATGATGAGTGATAAAGCGGGCTTCTGGATATCAAACTATCCCAGCACCTTACTCTAGGTTGAAATTTCACGGTCCGTAGGCGTGACATCACACAACTTTGCGTCAATCCTGCACGTACATGTACATATGTACGCATACATGTAGTCGTCGTATTTCAACGTGTATATGTTGGAATGTACGTATGTAGTTCAATGCATACACGCATGCTTCATATTTACACATACATACACATACATACACACACGCACAGCTACATAACCTACATACGCATACATGTTCATACACAAACAGGTAGGACTTAACGTGCCCCTGCATATGCAAAACTACCGCTCAATTTATGCCGAAAAGACTTCTGGGTAGCATCCCTTGGCAGAAAGAGAGAGAGAGAGAGAGAGAGAGGGAGGGAGAGAGAGAGAGAGAGAGAGAGAGAGAGAGAGAAGAGAGAGGAAGAGAGAGAGAGAGAGAGAGAGAGAGAGAGAGAGAGGAGAGAGAGAGAGAGAGAGAGAGAGAAGAGAGAGGAGAGAGAGAGAGAGAGAGAGAGAGACAGAAGACAGAGACAGAGACAGGAGAGACAGAGACAGAGACAGAGACAGAGACAGAGGACAGAGAGACAGAGACAGAGACAGAGAAGAGACCACAGAGACAGAGACAAGACAGAGACAGAGACAGAGACAGAGAAGACAGAGACAGAGACAGAGAAGCGACAGAGGACAGAGACAAGAGACAGAGACAGGACAGAGACCAGAGACAGAGACAGAGACAGAGACAGAGACCGAGACAGAGACAGAGACAGACGACAGAGAACAGAGACACGAGGACCAGAGACAGAGACAGAGACAGAGGACAGAGACAGAGACAGAGACAGAGACAGAGACAGAGACAGAGACAGAGACAGAGACAGAGACAGAGACAGAGACAAGAGACAGAGACAAGAGACAGAGACAGAGACAGAGACAGAGACAGAGACAGAGACAGAGACAGAGACAGAGACAGAGACAGAGAACAGAGACAGAGACAGAGACAGAGACAGAGACAGAAGAGACAGAGACAGAGACCAGAGACAGAGACAGAGACAGAGACAGAGAGACAGAGACAGAGACAGAGACAGAGACAAGACAGAATACAGGAGACAGAGACAGAACGAGACAGAGGACAGAGACAGAGACAGAGACAAGACAGAGAGACAGAGACAGAGACAGAGACAGAGACAGAGACAGAGACAGAGACAGAGACAGAGACAGAGACAGAGACCGAGACAGAGACAGAGACAGAGACAGAGAACGAGACAGAGACAGAGACAGAGACAGAGAAGAGACAGAGACAGAGAAGAGACGAGACAGAACAGAGACAGAGACAGAGACAGAGACAGAGACAGAGACAGAGACAGGACGAGACAGAGAAAGAGACAGAGACAGAGACAGAGACAGAGACAGAGACAGAGACAGAGACAGCGACAGAGACGATACGAGACAGAGACAGAGACAGGTCACAGAGACAGAGACAGAGACAGAGACGACGACAGAGGCAGAGACAGAGACAGAGAGAGAGAGAGAGAGAGAGAGAGAGAGGGAGAGATGAGAGAGAGAGAGAGAGAGGAGGAGAGAGAGAGCGACTGAGAGAGAGAGCGAGAGAGACGAGAGAGAAGAGAGAGAGAGATGAGAGCGAGAGAGAAGAGAGAGAGAGAGAGAGAGAGAGAGAGAGATTGGTATGGGATCCGACTCTGGTGCCTAATGGTATTGCGCTTTATGCAGGAGTCAGAAAAGAGTGCAGTGAAGCGCGCGAAGTGAAGACGTGCAGCTCTGTGTAACCTTTACACGGGCGGGACATGGGCAGAACCAGTCTTAACGTCACCCCGCCGTCAGTGTTGTGGCTGTGGCGGCCGGTACCGGGCCGACTCGAGCAGTCACGCCACCGAGGGGCTGCAGAAGCTCTGCAACTACCGACCACGTCCTCAGCAAAACAAGCAACGCAGTTCTTCGAAAGCTGTGCTGTAATACTTTGGGAGCATTTGAACCTCAGCTGCTTGCAAATAGGAACAGAGAAATGCAAAAGCGAATAGGATTGGTCATTGCGACCAAATTCCGTGTAAAATAATTTCGAGGTTTCCTCGTTGCTTTTTCAGTAACTTTAAAGGGTTAAATATTCTTAACTCATTGATCTCGCTAACCGCAATGGCCTCACCTCGCCAGGCTCAAGGAATTCAATATTTCAACAGCCCTTGAGAATGTGCGCGCGAATGTCAAAGATCAGTTTATCTCTATCGGCTGAACCCTTCAAAGCAGCTCCCGTTAACACAGAAAGGCCTGCTGCGCTCATTCCCATGTGATCCCAAGCATAACATTACACGCGTCTGTCATCACCTCGCTCGTCATCTCGCCGAAAAATGTGTTTTACTGGCTTGCTATCCCAAAAATAGCGCCAATGTTATCCAAAGTCGCCCATTTCACCTGGCCGTGACATTTTGCATGTCTAAGAACCGAGCGCTAGCAGTGACGCGGCACATAATTGCACCGGTCGAGCCAGTGGTGCTCGAAAAAAGCGACGGTTGCCGGCTTCAGCGGCTACGCCCAGTCGCTGAAGCCGCCCAGCACAATTTACCGGCTAACCGATCCCTGCAAGGAGAGAGCGCAGCTTCACGCAGTTTTCAGCGAAAAGAAAAGCAATTAGTTTATCAATCGCATTGTATTAGCCTTGGTGTACCCACACACCAGTTTTCGGGTAGTCACCAATTTCTTACAACATCGCAATGTGTACCAAATAAACCTTTTTTCTCATTCGATTAAAATAAGAAACGTACCATTTCCATGTGGCGAACAGCCATCACAAGCCTGCTTCAACTGGGCCCAGCTTTCGGCAACGAGACGTCGTAGCAACACCACACGAACGTCGTTCAAAGGAACGAAGCCAATCCTGTTAGTAAAAAGTTGGGGACAGTGCGAGCAGTTGACCACGCTGCTAAGCGTTTTTAACGATTGATGTGTGATCTCGGCAGAGGTAAGGCATGAAACTAACCCCACGAGTAGGGTGGATGTCGGTATCGTCACAAATCAATGGTCGATCTCGCATTGCCAGACTCGTAGTCGCACCAATACAGACTGGGGAGGGACCAACGCCGCGTTTTCCGAAACCTACCTCCAATACAACATGCTGCTGCCTCAAC